CATGGTTATGCATCTGTTTTCTCCTCCCAGGAGTTCCGAAAGCGGTCCCCACGAAACCGACCCCATGAAGCTGGTTTATGTCCTCATCTTCACTGTCTTCTTCCTGTCTCAGGTGACACCAGGTAAGCCCTCACTGGCACCTCCCTCTCATATCTCAACCCCATGTCCTTCCACCACTCCACTCCCAGAAGGACCCGGGCCCGGGAGCCACATAGGGATGCTCATATGGGAATAGTGAGGGAAGGGCAGCCTCTCAAGGGAATGGCAGGATTAGCACCTTCAGGCCCACACCTGGGCACCTGTCAGTGAGGTCCACACCTGTGTCCACATCTGATGGCACCCTTACATACGCACTCTTTTCAGCTTCTGTCTCCGCTATTGGTGTCATGTTAGCTGGCTGGCTGCAGGAGCAGAAAGGGAAGCTTAGAGGTTTTGCAAAAGCAGGCAGTTCACATACTTAGAACTGTGGCACTGGAGAAACTGGGGTATAGGTTGCTCTGTATCTTGCTCCAGGGTTGGAGGGATGAGCAGAGAGGGAGGCTGGGGTCTGCCTCCTGCCTGTCCATTCCCTGCAGCACAGAAGTACCAAGTGTCACAGGTGGCCCAGAGTTGGAGTGTGAGCACACCTGGATCCGAGAGAAAGGTGGCTTGTGAGGGCTCAGCCTATGGGGTCAGGCAGGGCACTGAGGGCCACTGTGCCTTGTGCTCACCCCTTAGTCTTTGTCCCCCCCATTCTGTTCCTCCCCTGTGTGCTGCACTAATAGAAATATATTCATCTAATCACATATTTCACTCCTCATCTAAGGGCACACGGCTCCAGGTGCTAATTCATTTGACATACAGGAGCTGACAGGAGCTGGAGGGAGGGGCCTGTCCCTGGCCACATCCTCTCAGCTTTGGGTTAACAACCTGCTCACTGTGACCTCGTGTGGTTATGATGGATTTTGTTGTGATGCTCAGAATAGTGACCCCATCAACTTCCTCGCTGGGCTGCCTTTCCATCAAAGAGAGGGGAGGTTGATTGTAGGGGGCAGGCAGGGGCCCTTTGGGGAAGCACGGGGAAAGAGCTGGTAGGGTGGTCCTTTCCTGGCAGCTTTCAGCAGGAAGAGGGCTACAAGGACCACTGACAAGCATGTCCTGAAGTTATTCTAAAGCCTGGCCCTCACACTCCCTGGCAGCATGTGGGTGGGACAGAGAAGGTGCCATCAAGGACACAGAGCTGAGGTCTGTGAGTAGGTGAAGTAGGGGAGCGAGAGTCTCTGACCCTATGGCCAGTCTAAGGCCAACAAGAGCCACCCCTGGACCTCTGCTGCCTGAGTCCCAAAGGTGGTGACTTCTGCTGATGCGTGTACTGGACAGGGAACTGCTGAGACCCTTCCTCCTTGCCGAGTACAGCCCTCTCACCTTCTAAGAGGCAGGAAAAGGAATCTTTTCCATGAGGCTTTGAGTTAAGTGCAATGTTTTTTTTCTCTTTTAGAAACCTCTGACCTCAGCTCCTGCCCCCAATTCCTCTGGGTCTTTTTCTTTAGAGATGTAAATTTTAGGTCTTTCATTTAATTGTTAAGGCATATCTGTTGCATCCTGAAGGCAGGTGGGAGGTGGGGGGGGGGGAGTTCTATGCCTAGGAACATGGGTGAACTGCAGAAGGTGGCTGACATGCCTCACATGTTCTGGGGCATGTCATGTGTGTTTACATGTTGGAATGAACATGCCTGTAGCTCCTCCTTTCCCAGAAGAGAGGTTGTAGTGTCCTGTTATTCTCAGTGGGATTCTCTCCAGGAAGTTGAAGACACCCATGTTCATGTCTAAAGGACATGGCTGACCACTCCACAGTGACAGCCGCCAGGGCACATCAGGGTCTGGGACTGTCACCCCAAAAGGGTGGGCACAGTGCCTCCTCCCAGATCCCATGGCAGCACAGACATTTCTGTCACGGCCACTGTGAAGTCTGGCCTCATCCTCCTGCCCAACAAACATGAGGAAAGGGCAGATGGGAAGAGGGAGTGCCTCGGACAGAATGGGTTTGTGAGCAGTCAAGTTTGGGGGTTTCTGGTTGGATTGAATGGTTCCTTCCCCTGCATGGGAACTCTGCCTCCCCACATTTTGGTTCTCTCTTCAGGCTGTGGGTATAGCGACATGCACAAGTTCTGCGACTCCATGATAAGCGTGTGCCTGAGGAGGAAGAAACATTGCATTTTCCGCATGCCAGGGCTCTGCCCCGGGAGGAGCTTCTGCTGCATCCGAGTGAAGTGAGCCAAAGGGTCTGCCTGCAATGTGTGGGCACTGCATTAAATAAATGAAGACTTTACCATAACATTCTGCTCTGAGTAATTCGAAAGGCTGAGACCTGATAGCGTTTTCTTCACTCGTTGGTTCATTTACTTTGTCGCTACCAATGACTGCCTTCTCCCATAGGTAGCTGGGGTCAAGGGTTTGAGGTCTCCACTGCTGAGACACTCACAGCCATGGAAGTCTTATCCAAGTTGGATGGGTCAAGAATGTTCCCGGCAAGGTGACTAGAAACTGGATCTTAAAAACTGGGTAAGAATTAGGCAGGAAAAGTGGCATAAGTTCCAAAATGGAGAGAACAAAATGCCCAAGGGCATGGCGCTGGAGACATGACTGCTCCCGGTTAGGAGTGGGTCTGGAACCAGAATATGGTAAGAGATGAAACTAGAGAAAGTGTAGCCAATGGATGGGGGACTCTAAAGACAATTTACCTTTTAAGATGCAGGGAAACATGGGAGAATTTTAAATGAGGGTATGGAGAGGAGATGGAGAAATGAGAAATCCATAGGCCACATAGGATATTATAATATACAACAATTGAAGTGAAAATGTTGGAGGTGAAGGTAGGAATTAAGACATTGCCAATGACAAGCAGGGAAAGTCAGTTATAGACAAGTCACTCAGGAATAGAAGTGTGCGGAGTTGGTCCTTGGAGATGGAGAGAAAGGGAGAAGAGGTTATTGTTATATTTGACTCATTGGATGTTGAGGGTTTCCAGGAATGGGTCCCGATCTAGAGACTGCAGATCAAGAATGGAGATTGTGGTTTAGGAGACATCAGGAGAGATGGGGTGGTGGTTGTGGCCTCAGAGGCCAGGCTTCCAGCAGAGAATAAGGGGATTGGAGATGAGAGAGACTAGAAGGTGGAGATGCCAAAGAAGCCTGGAGGTTGGGATGCAGCCTATGAGCACCTCCTCTGCAGCCATCTGGTAAACTGCCCTCCTCGTTCCATGCCGGTAACACCCTCATCTGTTCAAAATTGCCCAGGGTCTCTGGGATTCAAGCCATTCTAATTACCCTTCCAACCCTAAAGTCTATTACAAGGATCACGTCTAAGCTAATAATTAGAATAGACTTTATATTTTAACTCTATAATTAATTAGACTCAGAGTGCACATTATCTGGGCCACTACATATTGCCCTTTGGCCTCTGATAAGTCTAACCTCCTCAATGACATCGGTGGTGGGATTTCCCCATGTCCCATGACTCTAGAGTACAAGCACTACAGACTTTTTCTCATGAACGGGTTGCTGATGCCTTTGTGAAGGGAACGTCCTTGGGGATCTCTCAGGGCCAGCCAGAGCGTGCTCAGTGGTCACATGTAACAGATCAATTTCCACGTTCCTCTCTAGGTCCTGGGTTCCTTTCTCTATAGTGTATTTCAGATGTCCTGACACCCCAACTTTCTTTAATGTGTCACTAAGTTAGGGTTTCAATCAACTAAGCATCTCTTCTAGTCACTCCGAGCAGCCTGAGCCAGATTGTTTAAGCCAGAATCACTGATCATCCTACATATGCCCATTAGTGTCTCCCTATTGGCAATTATGAAAAGGCTTCCATGAGCGTTTCTCACAGGTTTTGAGTCAGAGCACACATTTCACTTCTCCAGGGTAATACTCAGGAGGGGTGAATGAGCCCTGTGGTCAGCATATTTCACTTGCCAACTGTCTTCCCAAGCATACTTTCCATTTAGGATTCCCTAAAGTGTGAAATGTATGGGAGGTTGATTTATTACAAAAATGAAGTCACAAGAATAACTGTGGCCAAGAAACTATGTCCCTACCATTTTAAAACGGGAGACACAATGTCTCCATGGGCAGAAGATTGTTTCCCAGTCTGAGCAGCAGGCTTTCCTTTACAATTCAGATACCATTCTACCTGGAGATGATTTCTTGGGTTCTAACATCATGGTTTTAAAAGGAACCTCTATTAAACCATCATGGTTTTAAAGGAACCGCTATTTGGACAGTGCCTTGGGGGAGAAGAAAAGAATCACTACATCTGGCCTGGCTGGCATGGGCTCAGTGGTTGAGCTTTGACCTATGATCCAGGGGGTTGCAGTTCAATTCCTGGTCAGGGCACATGCCCAGGTTGAGGGCTCCATCCCCAGTGTGGGGAGTGCAGGAGACAGCCAGTCGATGATTCTCTTTCATCATTGATGTTTCTATCTCTCTCCCTCTTCCTTCCTCATTGAAATCCATAAAAATATATTTTTTTAAAACCACTAGGTCTCTGAGTCTTGCTTCTCTGTAGAATGACAGGCTATGTTCTGCCATCTCTGGTCCTATGGGTGATGCCTACATGCCAACTGAAAGCTTTCTGCTCCTCAGAGCCTGAACTGGCTTGCTTCCCTGGGTCCCAGTCATCAACCGGGAGCCATTGCTTGATAGCCAAGAGCCACTGAGGGATGTGAAAATGAGAACGCAATCTCAGGGACTTCTCCACATAGCTCGCTCACACACACACACACACACACACACACACACACACACTCACTCACTCAGAGCTCATATAGTAGTTCATCAGTATGCAGACACATGGGCAGACTGCAGGTGACTTGGAGAACAACAGTGTCAATAGTAGCAGGTACAGAGACTGAGACTTAGAAAAGAAACAGCGAACGGCCTTGTCCGAGGTCAACCAGCTGGTTAGTGGTGTAAGCAACCGTAGAACTTAACTGTTTCCCGCAAGACCCATTCCAGGACCCTCGAGAGTGGTACGCCTTTATTTTGTGGAGTCAGCAGGGTGAGCTGCAGGGCTCAGCAGGCACTGTGGCGTGGGGGTTAGACTCTACAGCAGTGCTTGTTTCGACTCTTGCACTCCGCAGGCAGGATGGAGCACCCGTGGGTTTTCTGGTGCTTGCAGGCGCCCCCCATGTTTTCACATTCCTTGTTTTTATTTCTTTTTTCATAGCCTGTAAAGCAGAGAAGGTCAAGAAAAAACACAAAGTGAATTATAGGCATGGTGCCACAAACTACCGGAATTCACTTTGTACAGCAAGACTCTGCAAGGCCTCCACCTGCTTCCTGTGACCTTCGAGCTTAGTGTGGTTTGCATATATTTTAAATGAAAATGTCATGAAATTCAAATGTGAGTATCCATCACAGACTTAATTTTATAGGAAGATGAGTGGCTCCTTGTTTCCATATTGTCTGTGGCGCCTTTAGTCTATAATACAATGGCAGAGGTGGGCTGTCCTGACAGAGACCTTACGGCCCTGAAGCCTGAAATATTTATTTCCTGGACCCTTTCAGAACAAGCTGCACCAGGAAAGTTTCCTAAAGTGCCTCCTTCTCTGTCAAAAGGGCAACCCTGGCATGTGCCCCAATCAGGAATCAAACCATGACCAACCACTGAGCCACGCTGGTCAGGCACGGCTATTTTCTTGACACAAAGTAGGATCTACCTTTTGTGTAATTAGGTGGGGCTGTGAGATGTGTTTAATGAATTTTGAGCAGAAGTGACATGCCCTTCGGAGTGTGGGACCTCTTGGAGCACTTTCCTCAGACATGGAGACAAACAGCATTCATGGTGGTGGCGGCTGCCTTTTCTATTTATTGGTTTATGGATCTTTTATGCATCTGATGAAAAGCCAGCCATAGCTCAACTGACACCATCTGTGAGAAACACACAAAGAGGAGAAGGAGAGGAACAGGAGCCTCATGGTGAATGGATTCCTGGGGTTATGGGATGACGTGGTGGTGGCTGGTGGTGGTTGGCTCTGAGCAGCTCCAGCGAGCAGAGCGCCTCTGTGACCAAGATAAGAGCTTTGCTCCTTTGAAATGCCAAAATTCGGGTATCCTTGTCACCACAGCGTGGCCTGGTACAAGCTGACAAATGCATCAGGTTGCCAGGGGAGACACAGGAGACCCTGTTAAGTTTGAATTCCAGATAAACAACAAATCTTTTAGTACAAGGATGTTCCATGCATTGTCTGGGCCATAGTCATACTAAAACATATTCATTGTGCCGAAACTGGTTTGGCTCAATGGATAGAGCGTTGGCTTGGGGACGGAAAGGTCCCCGGGTTCGATTCCTGTTAAGGGCATGTACCTTGGTTGTGGGCATATCCCCAGTAGGGGGTGTGCAAGAGGCAGCTGATCGATGACTCTCATCGATGTTTCTAGCTCTCTGTCTCTCTCCCTTCCTCTCTGTACAAAATCAATAAAATAAAATAAAATAAAATAAAAAAATCATATTCATTGTTTTCATGTAATTTAATACATACATTTACATTCTGGGCTTGTTGACTGTTTAATGAAAACATTGCCTTTGGAACCAGAGCCACTTGGGCTTGAGTTAAGGGCTTCACTCCATACAATCTGTGTGACTGGAAGCACTTCATTTCTTATTCGCGTCTATGAGACAGGCCTAAAGTACCTGCACCATCAATGTAAATGCTGCCATGCAGCGGAATAGGAGGGGAAAGGTTTTGTTATGGTGTTTGGTCAAGAGAAGCAGTCAACTGTGTTTGTATGCTGTAAAGCCCCCTCTACATGTTATCTATTACCTTGGCTAGTTATGGGTTTATTACCAACTAGTAATGAAGGGCAACTGTGGGAAAATCTTTTTAATAAGTGGCAGGTCAAGGACTTTGTACTACGCTTCATTCAGCTATGATCCTTGTTGGTTGTTATACATGTCAGTGCATCCTTGGATCAGGAACCACCCAGCCCTCTCTGCTCCCCAGCTCCAAGATCAGCCACCATGTCATCCTATCAGCCAGATCTACAGCTCACCTGACACCATCTGTGAGAGACAAACAAGGAGGAGGAGGAGGAGAAACAGGAGCCTCATCGTGAGTGAATTCCTGGGATTATGGGATGAACAGGTAGTGTCTGGCAGTGGCTGGTTTTTCAGTGCACATCCACAAAGCGGGTGACCTGGGAAAGAGTTTCAAACATTCAGCAGGAGGGGAAATGGTTGCATTCCCAATGAAGATTCTCCAGAGGGATTGGGTGTCATTTGAGAATGTTTTCTCTATATATAGATCCAAGTTTGTGGCTGGTGAAAAAGAAAAAGACCTCTATCATAAGTCAGCATTATCTAGCTGATTCTCACTTCTGCTTATGACTTTGAGATTTGGTGCTTTTTCTGTTTGAGAAAGAAAAAAAAATGGAAAAAAAACCCAGTTGCTTTGCAAATCATCCAGTTATTCATTTATCTTTATTGCATTTCAGCTTCCCTTTCAGGAATATGAAGAAAATCTCTCTTTTTAGAAGATAAATAAGGAAGAAAATTTTTGTAAATAAAAATGTTCTCTTCTTTTTATGCTCAGTAACTTTTTTTGCTTCCTATTTAAGAAAAGGTTGATCTATTCTGGACAAGCTTGTACTCATGCTGCCTCTTGCATAGATCACAACCAGGTGAGACTTTGGGGACCAGAGTATTTCTTTTTCTTTTTATGTTAATTTTTTTACAATAAAATTATTGGGCTGTCATTGGTTAAACAAGAGCACATGAGTCTCAGGTGGACATTCCTATTACATCATCTTCCTTGGCATGTGTCTCACACCATGAAGAGGCCAATCTCCTTCTGTCACCATATAGTTGACCCCTTTATCCTCTTCAACCTCCCCAACCTGCTTCCTTGGTAACCACCTTACTGTTGTCTGTGTCCATGAGTTAGGTTTTTTTGTTCATTCATTGGCACGTTCTGTTTTATAGCCCACATGTGAATGAAGTCATACAGTTCTTTTCCTTTCCCATTCTCCTTGGATTCACTTAGCATGATACTCTCAAGACCCATCCATATTGTCCCAGATTAGAGAGAATCATTGATTGGCTGCCTCCTGTTGGCCCTCTACTGGGGATCAAGCCTACAACCTGGGCATGTGCCCTTGATCAGAATCAAACCTGGGACCCTTCAGCCTACAGGCCAATGCTCTATCCAATGAGCCAAATTTCTTTTTAAAAAATATATTTTTATTGATTTCAGAAAGAAAGGCAAAGAAAGCAAGAGATAGAAACATCAATGATAAAGAGAATCATTGATGTGCTGCTTCCTGCACTCCTCCCCCCCCTCCCCCACATACATACACACTGGGCATCAAGCTCGCAACCAGAGCATGTGCCCTGACTTGGAATGGAACCATGACCTCCTGGCTCATAGGTCAACACTCAACTATTGAGCCATGCCAGTCGGGCCCAGAGTATTTCTTAATACAGGTTTGATATCAAGGCATTATTGTGGTAAAGCCAGAAGAATACAGAGGGAAATATTGAAATTCTTCTCATAATGCTCATCACTCTGTTTCACTATGCTGTGGATTACTAAAGTAACAAGTCCTATTATTATCTCATATTCTCAGCACTTTGAACAGTGGGTGGGCATAGAGTAGTCAAATATATGTTTAAACTAGAGGCCTGATGCACGAAATTCATGTAAGAGTAGGCCTTCTCAGCTGAGGCTGCTTCCATCCTCTCTTACAGCTGTGGGTGGCAGCCTGGATCTCTCCTTCACAAGTCTGGTGGCTGCCTTGATCCTGTGGCTGCAGCCCTGGCTTCACTCCAGCTAATTAGCATATTATGCTTTTATTATTATAGATGACTGAGAGTTTGTATAAAGGAACCAACTAGTGGGTAAATGAAAAAATGGATGCATGGAGGAAATAAATGAGGGAGTGAAAGAAGAGAACAAAGAAAGGCCCAGTTTGGCTCAGTGGTAGAGCATTGGCCTATAGACTGAAGGGTCCCAGGTATGATTCTGGTCAAGGGCACATGGCCAGGTTGTGGGCTTGATCCCCAGTAGAGGGCCAACAGGAGGCAGCCAATCAATGATTTTCTCTCATCATTGATGTTTCTAACTTTAACTCCCTCTCCCTTTCCCTCTGAAATCAATAAAAATATATTTTTAAAAAGAGAAAGAATGAAAAGAAGGGGACACAGGGAACTTGAGTTCTTTACTTATTGAACAATGGCCACTAATATTGGGGATTAGAAATGTATATTATGACCAAGATGCAGACATCAAAGAAGTAATCTGAGCCATAAAGTCAGCAATGATCTTCTCAGAAATAAAAACAAAAGAAATTTCACTTAATAGTTGAGCTTTGGGATCAGATAGATCTTGGATCAAAGTCATTGATCTGCCATGTATTAGCTGAGTGATCTTGAAATAACCTTTCAAAGCTCCAGTTCTCCCTTACATTTGATGGTGATACAGTACCATTCTCCTTCCTGAGTCCTGACTCAGATCAGGGACGTCGCAGGGAGGGGGGCGGGGTGGTGTCAGTGGCTGGCCAGTCCTTTTGCAGGCAGAGTTGTGGTCTAGCTAACATTTCTGCAAGGGGATTAACCCAATGTAAGAAGGGCTTCCTAGGTGACTTCTGGGTCCCAGAGATCACAAAGCTGTTAGCTTTTTCCATCAAGAGCTGGAATATCTCAGAAAAACACTGCAATTGAAAACTGGAATTTGACCAAATTGTGCCTTAATTGAGCCCATAAAATTAGAAGCTGGTAGTACAACTTTGGTCATTTCTGGAATGTAAGGAAAAGATGGTCTAAAGAAGAACCTACAACTGTAGTAAGCACACCCAATTCCCCACTAAACTTCACTTATTATATGTAGCCATGGATGTATAAGTTTATACAATTTCTCCCATTCTCTCTTACTGGAGCAAAGTTTAAAGGAGGCTTCTGAATCTTGCATCAGCATCTGAATTTTTCACTAAATAGATACCTATTGTAGTTTGGTGATATTCACCTAGAAATGGACTAAGTGTAGTAATTTATTTAATAAAATTCTACATTGTAGCTGTGAGGCTTTTACTTTCTTGACTCCAACAATAATTTAATCATCATCATCATCATCTACTTAATAAAAGAGTAGCATGCTAATTTGCCATAACTTTGCAACACCCACCAGCCAATCAGGAGTGAGTATGTAAATTAACCCAACAAAGATGGTGGGTTAGCCAAAACCGGTTTGGCTCAGTGGATAGAGCATCAGCCTGCAAACTGAAGGTTCCCGGGTTTGATTTTGGTCAAGGGCATGTACCTTGGTTGTGGGCACATCCCCAGTAGGGGACATGCAAGAGGCAGTTGATTAATGACTCTCTCTCATTGATGTTTCTAACTCTCTATCTCTCTCCCTTTCTCTCTGTAAAAAATCAATAAAATATATATATTTTAAAAAAGATGGTGGATTAATTTACATATATATGTGCTAACTGGCGGTGGTGGCAGGACAGGACACTTGCACCATTGCCATGGCGATGACACAGGCATTCTGCACCACCCCAGCCACTTTGGGCCTCTGGGCAGCATGGGAAGGCAGAAAGGTGGCTTTGGGCCAGAGTGGAAAGATGACTCCAGGACAGAGCAAAGGCAGTGCCAGCAGGCAGGGGAAGGAAGGCCCATTCTTGCACTAATCTTCGTGCATCAGGCCTCTAGTAATAATAATAATAGAAAAGAAAGTATAGATGGAAAGCTTTTGTCCACATTCTCATCCCCCATGCTCATAAACTGAAAGCAATCACTTTTATAGACTCCTTAGATGTTAGGCTTATAGTCCCACCACTTTTTTTTTTTTTTTTTTTTTTTTTTTTTTTTTTTTTTTTTTTTTTTACCATGTATGGTTCTCCTAAAAACCTACCTTGCAATGGGTTCCTTCACTCTTCTCAGGTGGTCTGCTGCCTATCCCTCTGGCAGGGACCCCTAAGGCAGCTGCCCATGGCCACACAACTAGGGGCCAGGTCAGATCAACAATGGACAGAAGAAGGGCTGAGTGAGGTCATGCAGGGTGCATTATGATCTCGTTGGTGGAGAGGTGGGAACGAGTCAGACTTGAGTGGCATCAAACCTCTGAGAGCTGGATGAGGGGAGGTGGGGACGGTGCAGACACTCCTTCCAAAAGGTTTTGCTAAAAAAAAAAAAAAAAAAAAAACTGGGCAAAGATAAGAAGCGATAGATGATGAACAATAGTCAAAGAAGAGGTGTGTTTAGTTTTTACAGAGAGCAGGTGAGTCTTGTCCATCCGTCAGCAAGAGAAGGGATCCAGGACTCAATGAAAGGTTGGCCTTGGGCTGGCGCATGAGCCCATTTGTTCATGATTCATAGAAAAGACGTCCTCCTCTGCTGACTGGTGGGAAGAGCATCTTTCCTACGCGAGACTCATAATAAGGCACTTGGGCATGTTATGGCAATAAAACTACCAGATTCTGTAGGATAGAAATTAGAACAAATAATTAAAATTCCAGTGAAGAAGATAATAAATGTCAAATAAACAGTCAAAACAAATTATAATTAAAATCAAATACTAGTTAAGTGATAATAAAATGAACTAAAATAAAGAATACATGGGTTGTAAAACATGAATATTAGATTATCACAGCAAAACCAATTAGATGAATTTCACTCGTATGTGGGAAATAAGACTGAAAACAACAAAAACTCATGGACACAGACAGTGCAAGCATGTCAAACTCCAAGGCTAACATGGGCCAAATAAAGTTTAAGTTTATGTAGGCCGTAAAAAAAAACAGAAGCTTCAATTTTCATAGAAATGGAGGTTTATTTCAATAGAGACATGGTGAATACAAAGGGATGAAATAAATGAATAATCATTAATATAAAACAAGAGAACATTTTAATAAAAATTAATATTTTTTCTTGAATATTAACTTACCAGACACTGAATAACTGCACAAAATAATAAGCGTAATGCAAATAAACCTATTTTTTCTTGTTCTTCGAAAGTGAAATATTTCCTATTGCTCACACCAAACAAGTCTGTCCAAGACTAATGATGTGGTAATCAACTGCCAAAATATTCACTGCTAGTATTAGTGGAGAGAAATGGTGCACCTTTGTGTAAGGTGTGTAAAAGAAATGAATGCAACACAATTATAATAATAAGTTATTAGCCAATGTTGCAGTTCATTATTAATAACTAGAGTCCCAAATTTGTATACAGGTGGGGTCCCTTGGCCTGACCAGCAATTGGGCTGATGGGGGCCATCTTGCCCAGTCCTGATGAGGGCAGATCAGACTGGCCAGGGGAGATTGGCAGGCCCCAGAAGGTTGGCTATGGGAACATACTGACCACCAAGGGGCAGCTCCTACATTGAGCATCTGCCCCTTGGTGTCAGTGCACGTCATAGCTACCGGTCAACCAGTCATTTAGTCGTAATGCTTGCTTAAACTATATATATATATATTAGGATATAGTAAAAATTAAGTTATGAACTTTTTATTAACATGTGTCTTACATACCATTATATTGACTGTGCTGTAAAAATATTTGTTGTGGGCCACGAATTTGACATGCTTGGTCTGGAGGTTACCAGAGGGAAAGAGGGGTGGCATGTGTTCAGGGAAAGAGCAAGCCAGATGAAAGCTTGGGGCCATCAGAGTCTCCTTGCATCCCTTTTGCCATCCTCTTGTTTGAGATGATCCCAAAGGCCAGCTCAGGATGGGGATAGGGTCTCGCAGGGAGGGCACAGGATCTCCCAGAGAAGGGCACAAAGACTCTGCCTCTTGATGGGAGAACAGCAGGGCTATGGAGAAGCATATTTAGAAAACACAAGGTACCCCAAATGCAGAAGGGGAGTGGAGGCAAAAGGCAAAAGTGCCAGGTAACATCCCCTGAGATCAGCCTTTTATGTCCAATTCAAGTAAAGCAGCAGCCCCTATAATGCAGGTAAATAGGCATCTCTCAGGATTTCCGATTGGTGCTTATTCTCACATTGTGTCCAAATCCCATTTCCATCTTCTCCATGACCTTTTCAGCGATTCCCACCCATTTCCTACTGGCAACCACCCTCCTTTCTGTAGTTTTGCACCAAGCACGACAGAGGCTCCCCCAGTTCCCAAGGTTTGATCACCACAGAGCCATTGAATGAAAGGAGGATTTGTGAAAACCTGAAGATTAAGGATGGATGGTTGCTGTGCGGAAGTGCCCGAAAATAAAATTAGAAAGCAGAGTGCACGTCCTTGGACTTTCAACAGACTGTTTTCTTGACTCCCATCCTGTCCATCTGGAGGCAGCACTTTGTCCACCTCCGCATTGCCATTGGACAGATAACAATGCTTGAGGCAGGGCTTCTTTCAAAGACTGTTCAAAAAAAAAAACAAGTGACTAGATAAAGTCCACTCCCTGAGCAGGTTTGTAGCCATGTGGAGAATTAGAACATGACCCATGTGATTGAAAGCTGTGGGCCAAAAAGAAATGAGCACTGGGGCAGCGTGGAGGAGGGAGGGGCCACTTCCTATGGGGATCAGGAGTGGTGTCCCGAGGAGGAGGTGTTTGGTGGGGTCTGGGAAAGGGAGGCTTGTGTTGAGTGCGTGGGGCAAGTGAGGGCATGCAGGATGGGAGAAGCAACGCAGAATGCACCTTTTAGGAATGCACAGGGAGGACTGGGGAGCTCAGGTGACTCTAAAGGCACCAAAAACCTGAAAAGCACAACAGGTCCCCCATGGGGGTCCCTGAAGGTCCGCAGGGGAGCCTGAATGGGCCCCTCTGGGTTTCAGAGATGGGCCTGTGTGACCACGCACTGCATAGTAGCCGCCAGAACATGAGGGCAAGATTCTGAGTCTAATGTGAGTTGATTTTATTTAAATGTCACATCTTTGTGAAGGACACACTTCTGCCATCGTCAGTGACTGCAGCTTCTTCATCTCCACTTGCTATATGCTACAGCATTTGATTCCTGGGAAGCGGCAGCCGCCTATCTGTCGTCTACCTCCAGAGCAACGAAATGCCATGCAGATTCCACCTTTCCGTTGCAACTACGACCAGCAAGCCGAGCAAAGCCTAAAATGAAAATAAAAAAGGTAAGAGAGTCAGACATCAAAGCCCCATTTCAGAGAGACCCGTGGCGTCAGAGTCCCGGGAGTGAAACCTCAGGCGGCGCTTACGCCATAGAGGTGAGAAGAGGTGAGGTTGTGACACTAGGATCCAGTCTTCCCACAGAGACTAGAACTGCTGAGGTTGGAGAGTTTTCTTAAGTTTCCAGAACCAATGTTGGCAGGTTCTGAGTGGTGACTGAGTGACAGGACAGGTGGACAAGAGTCTGTACCATTTCCGTTCCTTAAAAAGAGATAGTGGCCAGGAAGTCAAGGTGACAGCAGGCCAGTGCTTTTAGAATGAGACACGGCCAGCAGGAGTCAGTGTTACTCCATCATTTCCTCAATGAAGTGTTGGAGCTGAGATGCCTCTTCAGATACAAGGATTGTTTAAGGAGAACATAATGTCTCAGTGCCTCACAGGGAAAATAAGGATAGTTTAAAAAATCTCTTTCATGTCCTGGCCAGTTTGGCTCAGTAGATAAGAGTGTTGGCCTGCGGACTGAAGGGTGTTGGCCTACGGACTGAAGGGTCCCAGGTTCAAATCTACTCAAGGGCACATGCCTGGGTTGCTGGCGCCATCCCCAGGGGAGACGCTGAGGAGGCAGCCAAACCATGATTCCTTCTCATCATTGAAATCTCTCTCTCTCTCTCTCTCTCTCTCTCTCTCTCTCTCTCTCTCTCTCTCTCTCTCTCTCTCTCCTTCTCTCCTCCTCTCTGAAATCAATAAGAATATGTGTCAAGAACCCTCTTTTGTGATGGTGTCTCTCACTCTTACCTGGTTCGGCTCTCACAGGCCCTGGCCCTCCCAGGAGGCTCTTCTCACCTTTCCTCTCATCATTCTGCTCCTCCCACCTCCCCAGGCCATGTCCCCCCTCTGCCTCCCTCCCTGCTAAGGCTTGTCTTGGAATACAGCCAAGAAGAAAACAGATGAAACAAGAGCTTTCCAACATAATTTAAGGTCTACTCCGTGCCTCCTGCTTCTCCCTCCCTTCTCTCCTGGTCCGTTTCCCTAATGCAAAAGAGCAAGGACAATGCTGGCATCCAGGTTTCAGAGCCACTGTGCCAAGAGCAGTGGTGGCAGGAGTATGTCCGGAGGACCTTTGAGCTAGGAAGATGGGGCACAGAGGTGCCCCAAACAGTGGCTCCCCAGTACAGGCTGGGCCTTGCTATTCTCTGGGTTACCAAGGACTCCCACTTTAGTAGAAAGATCTGTACAGAGACACTCTGCACGTCTGAGCTGGAACCAAATAAAAAAATATATATTTTTTTAAAGAAAGAGTGGAAGAGAGGGAGTGGGGAGGAGAGAGAGGGAGAAAGAGAAAGAGGGAGAGAAACATTAATATGAGAGATACACATCTATTGCTTGCCTCCTTCACGTGCCCTGTCCCAGGCCAGGGACGGAGGCTGCAACAGAGGTATGTGGTCCTGACCAGGAATTGAACCCGCAACCCTTGAGTAACTGGCTAGGGCATAATTTCTTGCTTTTATTGAATGAGAAAAGCCAGCTGACCAAGGTGTCCCTGTTAGAAGCACCTGGTCCTGGAGCCCAGAGGCAAACTGGCAGGTATGCCCTTGCTAATGCCTTTGGGAGTGCAGAGTGGTGTGCCCTGCAGGATCAAACTCTGAGCTTGCATCCATAGCGATAGGTGGGGTGCTTGCATCTCATAAGCAGTTCAGTCTCTTTGATCCAAAGTGTGTGTAGAAAAAGAAGAGAGAGAAGAGAGAGAGATGGAGAGGGAGAGAGGGGAGCACAGAGAGAGAAGTCCTGTCCTGTCTATCCGCCCTCTTACCTGGGACAGGCATCAAGAACATGAAGAGGAATGCAAGCAGGAGAAGGTGGAACCTCATGCTAAGCCAGGAGCTGACTGCTGACTGAGGGAGCCGAGCTTCACTCCTTATAAAGGGCCCAGGTTGGCTGCAGCCTTGGGAACCCCAGAGCAATTAAATTGTTCCTCTCGCCTGTCCCATGTGTCACAAGAAGGGCCTTGGAGCACAGGGCACACCCATCGTTTCTTGCAAGTCCATATGGGAAAACCCCAGGGAACCTATCTTTCTGTTTTTCTGACTTGCCCAGCACAGGTGGGGCACAGACTGAGGCCAGGCTTTTCTGTGTGGGAAGCAACTTTCTGGAGCTCAACTGCCAGCCCCAGGGCCTTTGAATCTGCCTGCCTCTCATTTGTTGAGCATATGGGGACAGTCTCAGGCCACACCAGGAACTAGGCCGGTGTCACTGGGAGGGATAGGAGACATGGGTCGCAAGCCTCCCTGGGTGCCCATGAGGGTGACATTCAGGACAATCTCCTAGTTTAGCATTGCCCCGGGCAGGTGAGGGGGCAGGGAGGTCCTCTATCTCTCAGAGAAAGGAAGGGGATGCAATGGAGACAGACCTGGCTCCATGGTCTCCGTGTCACAAAGCAAGGACAGCCTTGGGGTCACTTGTCAGCCTGGGGTCCTTTGGGCACAGGCTACAGCCAGCCCTCCCTGCACCAGTGCCGAGAGCCCATGGTTTGTGCTCTTCTCAGACCCATCAGCTCTCATGGCCCTGAGACCTGGGATCCTGAGGGACTCCATGTGGGAACGGCAGCTGCTCCAGGCTCTCCCATTGTCAGTGGGACCCAGTTCTGAAGGCACCCAGGACCCCAGGGTCTACGAGGACTCCACTGTCTCCCACAACTTCACACTTGCTCTGAGACCCAGCGAAGGTAACAGTGGCCCAGGGACTGGATGGAGCCCAGTGTCCCGCATTCAGGGGGTAGCTTTTTCAGAAGCTAAGGAAAGTGCATTCATGGTGAGTCCTTCCACTTTTGTCCAATAGACATGTAACCTACATTGTAATCACCTGGAGAGAATACACTCAAGTATTGCTTATCAATTTGGCCAGCAATACAGGGTCTTTTTTTTTTTTTTCCATTTATGAATTTATTTATTTGTCTTTTTCCTCACCTGAGATAAAAATTGATTATTAGAGAGTGGAAGAGATGGGGAGAGGCAGGGAGAAACATCAATATGAGAGAAACACATCGATTGGTTATCCCTGCACAGGCCTCAACCAGGGTCCAGGCTGGGGAAGAACCTGCAATAGAGGTACATACCCTTGACCAGAATCAAACCCGGAACCGTTCTGTCCACAGGCTGGCACTCTATCCACTGAGCCAAACCGTCCAGGGCCAGAGTCATTTCTGATGAGTGCTCTAAGATGACTTGGGAGGAAGGAGTAGAATCTGATCACATCCCCTCTATCTGTCATTTAAATGCCAGGTTGACAGATCCTGGTGACACCTGGCGGGGATATGCTTCCAGAAATCAGGTTGCCCCTGGGTGTGGGGATGGTGGTGGCCATCATAGGGGGAGTTTCAATGGCTGTGACCGAGGCAGCGGCCAAGGTCTCCTCCCCAGGAGTCACCATGATTCATGGCCCTGGTGGCCACCTTGTTTTCGTGTGTGGAAAGCAGATTTGCATGGAGCAGGTCACTGTAGTCCTGACCCTAAAACTCTTCCTTCCTGACTGTAAGGGGTAGGAACAATTGAGTGTGAGAGAGAGCCTACTATGTACTAGTATGTTCCGCCTAAGTTAGTGAAGTTTTAAAGCTACTTCTCTGACCTTTTTATTTATTTTTTGTTAATCCTCATCCACGGATATGGTTTCTATTGATTTTTTTGAGAGAGTGGAAATGGAGGGGGAGAGACAAAAAGAGAGAGACATCACTGTGAGAGAGACACAGTGATTGGTTGCCTCCCACATGAGCATCAACTAGGGTCAGGGATGGAGCCTGTAATCCACGTACATGTCCTTGACCAGATTTAAATACATAACCCTTCAGTTTGTGGGCCAACGCTCTAACCACTGAAGGCCTGGCCAAGCTATTTCTCTGTTTTTTTTAAAGGAAGATGCTGACATTGCGGCCCTCTCTCCTAATGACAGCATTGCACACCCTGAAGAATAGGGACGGTCCCACATAAGTCACAGAACCATTTACACACATTGAAAAAGGGCAAACATACTTAGTGTCTACTGAGTACTGATATTTCCCCACTGGTTCCAGGAATTGCTCTGTAGCTGTGGGTTCTATTCCTGCTCCATTTTGGATCGAATTGTGATGCTGGTGTCTTCGTGGCTTTGAGGAAGATTCTTCAGGAAATGCCACTCACTGCTAAGGGCTGAGAGGAAGCTGCAGGGAGTGAGTGGATTTCATGTTTTGCCTGTTCGGGCTCAGTCCTGACTCTTGCTTGCAATTAGAAGGATAGCATGGCATTGCTGTTGTGAAGTTCACTGGAAGAGGGGACATCCCTCCACAATCATTTTGCAGCTCCAGAGAACCAGACACAGCATTTTCAACTCATTTTATAGAGATGTAACTGACATATCACATCTGATTTCTTTCAGGTTACAACATGAAGATCTCATTTTTGTATATTTTATAAAATGATTATCACAATAAGTCTAGTTAACATCCATAATCACAAGAAGTTAAAATATGTTTTCTTATAATGAGAACTTTTAAGATTTACTCTCATCAGACTTCAGGTATACACACAGCTGTCATTGGCTTCAGTCATCTTGCCGTACCTACATCGCCCCATGTGTGGAAAACAGATTTGCATGGAACAGGGCACTGCAGTCCTGACCCAAAAACTCTTCCTTGTAACCTGAAGTTTGTACCTTCTGACCCCCTTCACCCATTTCACTCCCCTCCACCCTCCTCTGAGCAATCATGTGAGTCAGTGTTTTTAGATTCCACATAAAGTGTGATTATACAACATTTGTCTTTCTCTGCCTGCTTTATTTCACGAAGCATAATGCCCTCGAGGTCCCTCATATTGTTGTAAACATAAGATTTCCTTTTTTTTAATGGCTGAATAAGATTCCCCTGTGTGTATGTACCGTTCCCCCCCCGCCCCCCGTTAATCTGTTGATGATAGTTTCCACATCTTTGCCCTGTAAGTAATGCCGTAAGAACATGGGGT